TGTACAGGATATTGGTTCATATTTTTATGCCTCTATTTGAATATATAGATATACCAAAATAAATTTTATATTCTCGTTTTTTTGTTTTACAACACGGTGTTATCAAATTTTCAAACAGACATTTCATCTTAAAGCTTATCAACTTAGAGCTCATCAACTTTCTTTTTTGAAATACAGTTCCGGATATTTTATTACAGCTTTTAAGAGCATCTAAGGTCTCAGAACCAATAATGTACCGCACATATTCGAAAAATTCATATTAATGATTTTCTGGTAACTTTTGATTTGGGTTTTCTGATTTCCTGACCAAAAATTTATTCTTGGTCAATCTCGCACATGATTTCTTGCAGAAAATACGATCAATATGAATTATTCGAATAAGTATGGTACACCATTAGAGTTATAGAACTCTATAAAAGCTCTTAATATTCGTAATAAAATATCCAGGACCGTACTTAAAAATGGAAAGCTAAAAATTGCAACTCAAAAACGAAACGTCTTCTAAATTAAAAATGAAAGTTGTCATCTGTCAATTATACGAGGAAAACAAAATGTTGATATTTTGTGAAAGTTTGAAACACACTGTGGAGTACGATGACGAAGCAAGGTATTTAATTTAATTTAATTTTAATTATTTTGTCATCTAGGTGTATCTTTTCTCAATAGTTTTTTTTTATTCATCTTAATAGCTTTATTTTTTTTAGATATTCGCTTTTGAAGGAGGCACTAACATTTACTTTAGATTCTAGTCAACAGGTCTATAAAATAGTTTTATGATTTATGCAATATTAATGTAAACGTCAATAAACAATAATACTATGACTTTTCAATGAGAGTAACATTACAAAAACAATAAACACTATTTTATAAGTATATTGATAAGGACCCAAAATCAATGTAAAATATATTTTAATCACCCTGTACATCTAAGAAGATTTATTTTATAAAGAAATACTCGTATTATATAAAGATAATTATATATATTTTTTAAAGAAAGTTTCTGGTAAATACATGAAATAGAAAATCGATATGAAGCTTGTTCCAGAATTCTGGAGGTCCCCCCTGTATGTTTGCAATAAACTCCTGCAAAAATCTTCCACGTACCAAAACTAGAACACAGATAAATTAAACTTTCTCATTAAATCAGAACTATCCTTAAATTTGCTGCGTTTCCTCGTATGATTTTTTCGATTCCGAGTAAAAATAACCAAAAGCCAAATGATAAATACATCGAGATATGTCTGATATATGGTTGTTAGTTATAAATTTAAATTAATTGAATGTACCGTAAATATTATCGAACGATCAATAAGTATTAATAAATATCTGTATGTAATTGACTGTAATAACGTAATAACGAGTTTTTTGTTGGTATAGAAAATGATTTATATTTACGTTCTTTGCGGAATACTGTATAGATATACACATACGTATAGCGACGCAAGTTCTTCAACGTGGCGATCTCTCCATACTTTAACCTAATTAGGTATTTGTCTCAATATAAAGGGGCTGTGCTATGCCGCAAACACTACTAGCTCAGGCAAATCTCATCAAAAACAAGAGTTTAAGTGAAGTGTTTCCGAACATTTATTTTTCAGCTTTAATCGATAGTTTTGATGACCTAGAATAATAGGCTAATTGTCCCAAAAAATCGTACTTGAACTTCAGGCGCCATTTTGAAAAACATGGCCGCCAAGGCCTTTTTTGAAAATTAGCGATAATTCAGCAATCGAGAACCGATTATCCGATTTACAAGATTTTTTTTGTTTTATTTGTCACATTTTGTATGATAAAAATGTCATTAAGTTATTAATCAAAAATCAAGGAATGTCGCAAAAAATATATAAAAACCAATTTTTCCATCGTTTCTTTGGCTTGATATCTGCATTAAAAAATATCAAACTTCAAATGAATGTTGTAAAATAATGATATTTCTTCATTTTGTCCTTTTTGGTATTTTCATAATCGTATTTTCATAAACTATTAGATGTGCCGCGACCCGTCCCCTTATAATTATGATCAATAAAATAATTAAGTTTAATGTAAGTTGTAAGTTTAATGTACGGACTAGCTGGCAGCAATGATATCAATGATGGAAGGTTCAAACTTTATAATATTTACATTGGTAAACAGACTTTGGAAAAATCGTTCGATTTGGCTATTCTTCCACCCATAAAGGATGCATTAAATCAACACATATTGAGGTAAACACGTGTCTATATAAACTTTAAATTTTAAATGAACTCGTTTCACATTTTAGGGCGTATCATCAGATCCAAGTTTGGCTGGGGTATAATCCTGCACCGGAAGAATTTGGCTGGAAGGTATATAATAACCAAATGTTTCCATTGGCTATGCAGGAGTTTCCAGCACCCCCCGAGCTTTTAAAACTTATTTACTGCAAATGCAGAAACGGGTACCAAAAAAAGTGCGTATGTTCAGACGTTGGGCGTTGTAGTAGCATGTACCCCCGAATTGTCATGGCATAGATTGTAAATACGCCTGTATTATTGAAGAAGAACATTTAGATTTTATTTTTTTTCTTATTTCATATTCTGGAAAAGTTACCCTCCAAATTTATGTAATTTTTTTTTCTACATTTTATTAATAATAAGAAGTTAGTATTGGCGTTTTAAAAAATATTTAAATCAATAAAATTATCTTTTATACAATATACAGTTATAATTATTGCTCCAAAAATAAAAAATACGTAACAATATGCAAGCTGCCACGGCCTAGTTCACACGTGAGCTATGTTTGTTCTAATGTTGGATATGGACTATGGAAATAAACGAGATTGAGTTTTAAAGTAAACTTATTAGTGTCCAGCTTTTATTACACCCATACAGCTTATATATTGCATAATTGGTTGCTGAATTTTCGCTAATCTTTAAAAAGGCCTTGGCGGTCATGTCTTTCAAAATGGCGCCTGAAGCTCAAGCGCGATTGCTTGGGACTTTTAGTTTATTATTCTTCATCATCAAAGCCATCGATTAAAGCTATAAAATAAATGTTCGGAAACACTTCACTCAAATAATTAGATTTCCCTGGGCTATACGGCTTGTAAGACCTATTGTGTCTGTCGTTTGTCTCTTTCTGGTTCAAGTCTTGCTTTCTAGTCATTCCAAAATAGAAAGTGTCGTTTGCGATCCAGAGCCTTGCACTGACATTATGTGCTCTGCTGTTTCAAGACCTTTATTGCAGATTATGTAGCAAAGACTTCCTGGATACAGCTTGAGCTTGTTCAGGTAGCACTTGACAGCCATATGTCCTGTTAAAAAACCTGTTGCAATATGCACTATTCCTTAGCATTAGAACCCCCTTAGTTGAGTATTAGCAATCCTTTTGTGGTATTAGAATTAGATTCTTGGATGGAAGCCTTGCTATATCCGTGTCCCTGTCTGATTCTTCAGTGGACGGTATGCTCGTCTCAGTACTGGCTCTAGATGAAGATAGAATTCCTATTATCCTTGCCTTGCTAACTCGTCAACTTTTTCATTGCCCTGGATCCCGCTATGCCCCGGCATCCAGAATAATTTATTTCTACTCCTTTTGCCATAGTGCCAAATTTATCCAAGTATTCCCAGACGAGTGTCGATGACTAACTCTATGAGCATATAACTGTATGAGCCTCATAAGTAGCTCACCCCTATAACTTTTTTTATTTTTTCAGTTAAAAAAAGGAGATTTGGTATGTTAGTATATGACATAAATTAGGATTGATTGGACGTATTCAATTCTATTCGGTCACCTTGTATTCCTGTTTCACCGGTAATGAGTACTACTTTTGATTTTTAAATGACATCCTCGGTTTTTTTTTACTTTATTCGATAGAAAATAAAACTCTGAATAGAATGATATATCATATGTCAACTTTTGACATTTTTACATATGGTTTATTTGAAATTATAACTTGCGGTTCGTAACGAAAATTTGACTCGAAATACCAAGTGTGTGGTATCAAATTATTCGTAAAAAATGCCTTTTCCAAATATGCTAATGAGCCACCCTCGTTCCATTTGAAACAATTGAGATATGATAAAATACGATTTGGGTATCTTTTAAATGGCCAGGACAAGGCAATAAAATCATTAGACTATTAAATCTGTTTTTCCAAGGTACTGAAAAAAACTGTACTTTAATGTCATTTGCGCCGTCTGGCGATGCGGAAGAAACTAAATTTGTATTTGTAGTTTCTATAGAATTACTATTGAGTGTTTAGGCCAAGATAACGACTCTGATCTATAAGTTGTCAAATGATCTCTGTTAAATTATTTCAAGCGCAAAGGAAAAAAATCCCACGTATTTTGTTAGAATAGATATGTATATATGAAAATGGTAATTTTCAAAATAACCATACCGTGTTGCAATAGCCTATAGAAAAACTTGACTAATTTTTTATTGAAATATTTTTGAACGTATATTTCATTAATACTTAATCTTCCGATTTAAGAAAATAATTTAAAGGAACTTCTGAATAGAATATAATTCTGAAAAGACAATTTCATGAAAAAAAAAATAATATATCAAAAAAAATCACAAACTTTAGGATTAAATTTAGGACTAAAAGATCAACAAATTCCCAAATACTGTAAAGCCAACGTTAGGCTTTGTAACGATTAATAACGAATTTTCTACTAAATTGTTATTTACGAAGAGATTAATCGCATAGCTGCTAACTATTTCTTTAAAACTTCGGGTTGTGTTCCGTTCCGTAAACCGACTGCAGAATATTTCGTAAAAGTACATTTTGCAACGTGCGTTGGAGGTTGTTTTATCGAAAACATAGATTGCTAATGGATCTTTTTCTTGGAAAAATAACCAATCGTGACTATTATCTCTTGAAGAATTCAATTTATTTTGCCACGAGAAAAGTTCTGATTTAGGCAACAATAGATTAACATACTGTATCTGTATAAATAAAACTTACAAGACAAAGTCGGGTTTATTAATTTTTAAAAATTAATAAATATACTAATTTTCTATTTCTTTTGTTTCAGAGAGCAGCACCTGTTCAGCGTGTTCGAATCCATCATATCAACGCTAGAATCCAAACTGCAACGGATAGAAAACTTAGACAAGGCAGTGGAACACCTAATGCGCCGAGTTGAAGGTTTAGACTCACGCGTAAACAACAATATCGATAAAACAGAGTCAGTAATCTCCAAATTACGCAACCTAGACGTAAAATTGTTCCAATCGCCCAATAAGAACATTTTTGAGATGGTCAGTGACAAGTCCTTACCACCCAAAGAAGTAATCAGTTTGAGCACGAAGCTAGTCTCGTTAGATCAAAAAGTCAGTGATATAGATTCCAAATTGAATTTGTTGAAGAGTCAGCTTGATCACAACTATTTACAAAACGATAGAGATGATATTCACGTAGAGGCCAGTGAAAAGAAGCCTGTGAGCATGAACATTGTTGAAATATCCAAAGCTCTGAATGGAGACATATTGAATCAGATGTCAAAAGAATTAGAGCAGTTGCGAGAAACAACTGATTCAGTTGACAGAAAGTTAGGCTTTCATATTAATTATGTATCAGAAAAGTTAGAAAAAGTACTGAACGTCATGACGGATGTTCAGAACGCTATTGTGGATGATACACCTACGTATCATGTGCTTAGGTATCCTAACAAAAGTAGTACTACAACCACGACTACTGCTGGACCTGAGTTAGTAAGATCAAGCAAAATTGATACTTTGGTACAACAAATTAAGCCTATAATGTCGGTTTCGGAAAAGATGGATGAGGTTAGTAACAAATTTCTGATTCAAAATCGCTTAGAGTCATTGTAAAGTCTGGTCCAAAGAGTCATGGTCATGTAGTAAAATGATAGACAACAACTGTCATTTTCATGTCATGTCATCTTCTCGTTAGACAATTAGTCGAGTGCCCAGAGACTTTTACCTCGGAATTGAATTACTGTGAATGTATTAATGTGAAATCTTCTGTATTGTGTTTTATAGATAAGATTCTAAAATGTTTACCCATTTTTTTCGTTGCTTTTAATTTTTTATTTTAGTAATTTTAGTAAATTCTTAGTTATTTCCTTCTTGATTGTTTGATTTTTTGATTTTTTTTTTCATAAGTAAATTTATTGAAATAAATAAATCTAATGCATAAGCTATACCTATTCTGCTTATATTCTAATCATTGAAATTTTGATTGAAATTGAATTATACAGGGTGGCGCGTCATATACGACGCGGTTTTTACAAGGAGAACAAAAGTTTGTATTAAAGTGAAATTTTGTGAACTTATGTCAATTTAAAGCATTTTCTAAAATTATATAGAGTTCTACAGGGTGTCCCCAAAAAAAGTTACACATCAAAGTTGTGTTTTTTTCTCGGTTTTTTTTAATGGAACACCCTATATATTAATTGATTTTCGGATTCTAGTAAAAAAATAAAGGCGAGTTTCATAAGAAAAGTATATGACTAAAATATATAGTTTGTGAAATACATCCAACGGCACGAAAAATGGGCACTTTAAAACTTTGATGTATTTTAGTTTGATATATTTTGTTCTAGTGGGCCGATATTGATGATTATTCAAGCAGTTTGTAGCCAAATTATTTGACTTTTTAGTATTTCTTTCAAAAATAAAAATGAAACTCCCCATCTGTTATTTATACGAGGGAAAACAAAATGTTGGTATTTTGGTGAATTTTGAAACACCTTGTAGAATATGTTAAAACAGCAAGAAATTTAAAAATTATTTTATCATCTAGATACATCCTTTCTCGCTAGTTGGTTTTTGGTTCATCTCATTAGCTTAGCTTTATTTTTATTGCAGATATTCGCTTTTGAAGAAGACACTAACATTTTTTCGTAAATTTTTTGTTGTTTTTGTTTTGTTGCTTTTGGTCCTAGTCCCTAGTCAAAAGATCTAGTAAATTCTATCTAGTCCCGATCTAGTCCCGAAGCAGGCCTTCTTGATATAAGATTTGCTTCATTTAGTCTTTTTTTATAGTCCGTTAGTTAATATGTACGTTCCTAGGTGCAATTCATTATAAATTTGAAAAGCTGGCAAACGGCGGTTTCTTATCGATAAAATTACAATAAGTCTCGATTAGAAGTTCTCATACGTATAAGGTTCCTGGACATCTAGATTGATGTCCTCATGGACGTGGTCATAATACAAAAAACACTCAGTATACTCTATGGTATTAAGATATTTTTGGAACAGGAATTTTATAGCAAATTTACTGAACTAAACAAATATAAACCATTTCATTTGGAAAACTAAAATTTAAATGTAAAAATATATTTGACTCTCCCTGTATATCTATAAAAATATTTTTGAAATGTGAGCTACCATTAAACATATATTTTGTAAAAGGTTTGGAGTGAAAATCTCAAATAGAAATCCTGATACAGAGATTTTTCGGAACATGGAACCATCTTGTATGTATGCATTTGTATATGTATGTTTATTTAAATACTAAAGTGAAAGCAACGAATTTAAATGGGTAAACTTTGTAATATATCTTATTAGCAATACAATGCAAAAAGTTTTATAAAAATTCGTTGACAGTAAATGAATTCCGAGGTTTTTATCCCATAAGGGCGTAAAGCACTCCACTACAAGCTTTAAATATAATTGCAGTGTTAAAACCTTAGACAAGGAAAGAGAGGGGACAGGTAACACGGCAGCTAAAAGTGACGCCACTTGTCACCACGCGAAATTCTCCAATGGCGTAGCATCAGAAATTAGCTTGTACTGATTATCAAGACAATTATTTATTTATTGACGTGTGTATAATGTATAATTAAATAAAAAATAATGTAAATATATATATATATATATATATATATATATATATATATATATATATATATATATATATATATATATATATATATATATATATATATATATATATATATATATATATATATATATATATATATATATATATATATACATTATTCATTGAATCCGTAAGCAAGTGTGAAGGGGATCGGCTAGATTCATTATTATACCGTATGATTCGAAAAAAAAGACGTCCAGTTGTCTTGTAAATTACGATCGATAACATTCCCCATATAATTCTACATATAAAATGGCATAAAAACTATACAAAACGACATCGAAAAAAGACGGTGTCAGCGATAGCTATGAAATGAAGATCGTTGTCATTTTATATGTAAAATTATATGGGGAATGTCATCGATCATCATTTACAAGCCAACTGGACGCCGTTTTTTTCAATCATACGGTATAATAATCCCAAGTAGCAAAAAGAAGTTCAAAAAGGATTGAATTATTTTATAACAGTCGAATAGCGTTTTCTTAAGGACTGCTTGATTTTATTAAGCGTGTGGTTTCGACCATTCTGTTTTTTAATAAAAGTTGTCATATTAAACTATTTTATAGTGATTTTTACAACGTATTCTATAACGCATTAAACAATAATTTCTTTTAGTATGATATAAGACTTAATAAGACAATGCTCTATGATAACAAACATATTATTTTATTAGACTCTTATACCCACCATGTAAGAGTTCTATAATATTCATATAACTAGTAGTCACAAGATCATATAATAGTTACTTAAACTTGTCTTATTAAAGTTATATTACGTTCTATGATAGAATGTTTTATTGTGTTAAACTACGGTGCTGTATACAACACTAGTTATATAGCCTTATATGATAAAATTGTGATTAACAAAATAAATTCGCTGTAATATCTGCATTATAAAACTGGTAATGTATAATATAACCTCATTTTAAATTAAATGGTATACCTAGTTATTTATTTTGTTATTGTTGTTGCAAAAGTAATATCTACGTACGAGTATAATCAATCACAGCTATTATGAATTTTGGACAAAGTTGGAAAAAAGTTAACAATCGCAGTGGTAGTTATAAAGAGCATGTAAGAAAAAAATCATCGAAATTACGGCAAATAATCCCGAGAATTCCCTGAGTTCCCAAAAGCAAATCTCTCGGGTTGTCTGGCTTCTTCAAAGCATTGTTGCCACGTTGATGTAAAAGTTTTACTGTAGTAATGTTTGTATTGTTTTATTGTTGTTTTTCCAAGTCCTTAGGTTGCCGCTCACTCGTCGGGCATGCATGAATCCATGAAAACCTGATCATGCTTGTTAGTTTAAATACTAATCAAATGAGATTTGGCAACATCTATTTGTCACTAATCTCAATATGTCAAAAATAGTTCTATAGTGCCTGGAAATTCTGCGTAATGATATATATTTATCCTATACCGTTTTATTTTACAACAAAGACTTATTTAAGGGATTCATTTATAATAAAATGGTTGCATTATAATTCGCCATGTTTAAGGCAGAATTTTTGTATGGCCTATGGCCGCCATTATATGAAGCAAAATTAAAAACATCAAAATAAATTGTAAAATGTTATTTTTGAGAACTATTTTGTGATAAGATTCCCACATACAGTAATAAACTGTTTAATTAAATTAAAAACAAGAATTTTTGAAAATTTTATTTTATTTTATTGTTTAAATTTATACGTAAACCTTAATCGAAATTAAAGCGCTTTAATTTTTTGCCAAATACATACCTATAATCTACCAGTAAAATTTTCGGCGCAACAAAAATTGTCCCTACTTTTCAAAACCTATTAATGATTTTTTATATTACATATTTGTTGTACCTTCTGGCTCTACCCGCCATTTTCACCGACGAGTAAAGTCTCCTTTTTAACAATCCACATCCTCTAGATTCATTTTACGACACGCTTAAAATATAATTTGCTCCTAATATTCTTCGGTAAAAAATAAAATACGCTTTTACCTCGCTAAATGACCAAATGTTTTTATTGTTCTGTTTCTTAGATGTGACCACGTAATACACAATAAAACTAGTTTTATAATAGTTATATAACGCTGTGTAAAATAATTGCATAAGAGTTGTATACCCTTTTTATAGAACTTCTATACTACTAAACGGTTGTATAAAAATGGGCATTTTTTGGTTGTAAAGCTATCATATTACGGTGTTATAGCACGTTATATGAATTGAGGTATCCTATAAAAATGATCTCATAGCTGTTTATACAGCCTTTATAAAATAAAATTTGCTACTTGGGATGACTCTAGCCAATCCCCTTCACACTTGTTTACGGATTCAATGAATAATGTAATTTTTTATATTTCTTACCTTCAATCGTAAGATTATCCTAATTTTCCACAAAAAAAAACAATTCTAGGAGCTTCGTGTTATTTTATTTATTTATTTTTAAGGTTTTATTAATTACCCCCAGCAAATCTTGCCAGGTAAATTTAAGTTTTATGTAACAACTATACATATAGATTTTTTATCACCAGAATTTTTCATTTTTTTATAGTTTACAATACATATTTGATAACAATACTTTATACATTTTTTTACATGTAAAATGTGTAAAAAAATGTTTATTGCAGAAATTGTACTTCTCTGATTATAATTCCCTACGCCACTGGAGAAATCCAGTCTGAGTAGCATTATTTATAGTTTCAAACATTAATTATAATACAGGATATTGAAAATACTACTTGGAATTATTAAAAATACCTAGTTTGGTTTGGATGTGGTACAAGACATATTAAAAGCATTTTACATATTTTTACTGCTATATTGAAAAGAATGTACATTTAATGACTACATAACAAAAATTGTGTATCGATATTTACCTGTGAAATTTAATTTCAGCCACTTTTTCTCGCTTCGGCCTTTGCAGCCATACGCTGAACATCTCACCATACTAAACAATACAGTTTATAAATTTAAAACAAAACAGTATTCACAAAAAAACATAAAAATTCGCTTGAAAGCACCTCGAAATCTTGTCACCAAAGTATGACCGCCGATCAAATTTTGGCCTCAAAAAATTTTCACTGGAGAATATGCGTGTTAGCTGTTCCTTCTCTTTCCTTGTCGAAGGTTAAAACCTTTTGAAGTAATGTGACACCTATTGCCAAAATCGTCAAGAATTCTATTATATATTTTTTTCTGGTTATGCTCGTTTTGGTTGGCAATAAATTCAGTCATTGTTGACAGCTCCATATTTTTCTTAACAATCACAATGATTTGTGAAAAGAAAACATGTTGAATAGTGCATTTCGCCTAAAAAAAACAATACATATCAGTACTTTTATTTTAAAATATGTTTGAATATTTAATAGGATTTTGCATAGAGTCTTAGTAAATTCTTATTTCAAATGTGAATATATATTTTTAATGTTAAGGTAAAATAATAAAAATCGATTTATTTATTAGGTTTGGAATGTTGTAGTTGGTACCAAAAGTTCCGTCGACGATTTGGTACCTAAATCCGATGAGCTTCTCACACAAACACAGCGACAGGAAAGAGCTATTGGTGAAATACATAACGATCTCAAATCGAAAACAAACAAAATAATTGCAAACCTGGATAAGGTAGAAAAGAGGTTAAAGAAACAAGAAGACGATGTGGCAACGCTGGCACAAAGACCAGTTCCTCCAGAAATACTTCTTGCTGAATCCAGCATTGGTCCAGGTAAAAAATTAATTTAAATGATTAAATGGCAAATTTTAAGAAATGAGAATTTTTTTTTATTTTTTATATTAAGAATTTTTCTACAAAAATCAGGAAAATAGTTGCATGTCACTAATAATTTCCAAGTTATATAGAGTCAATTATTTTCTTCCTAATATTACGTTATTTTAAGTCAGAATAATCTACAGCCTATTTTATTATTTATTGAAAACTGTATTATTTGTCTTCCTTTTTCCTTAGAATATGAATCGACAGGAATCGACGAAGAATACTCAACCGACACCACACTACCCTTATCATTCACCACTCTACCTCCCACGGTAATCACTCAAACATCGTACGTAGTTCAAAACGGCAACTACAGCAACGTCGCAAACAGCGGCAACGTGGCCACGACGACGGAAAAGCGCCAGGAAAAGAGAAAAGGCGGCGTAATTTTCCCCAGCGTCAAGAACAAGCCGGCCCTGAACAATTCCACCTTCGTCACGTCGGACATCGTTTCAAATGTAAGAGATGTTAAGGTAAGATATTACTTTATCTGAACTCGTTTGAAAGAAACATACGTTTCGGGTATTTACGAAAATATAAAATAAAAATTATCAATCTTAGATCAAATATTATCTAGACACCGGTTTCTTTGGTGTTGTATGACTAAAATAAATGATATTATCTCATATTTTCGTCATCATATTTTCACTCCTTAATCTTAATTTATGTTTCTTTGAAAATATAAGTTAATTAAAAAATAAATACGATTTGCAAGAATAGGAAACATTTCTGTTAATTTAATGAATGCTTCTTTCAAAATTTGTTTGGAAACAGAGAATTAGAAAATTTAACAAGTTAATCAATCTAAAACACTTCTTATTGCTCTGTAAGAACGTTTTATTAGTCATGTAAAGTACCGTCTAGACATTACTTACGTTTCACCTTGTGTTTTACATGTCAAAAAAAATGGCAGATTCTATAGAGAACGGACGGCAGTTCTCTATCTAGGGCTCGGTCTTTTCGACTACATCAATGACTAAAGAAAAAAGGTCCAATAACACCAAGAGATCAGATTGTTACCATACCTCCAGTGTTGTACCACATATTTTTCTTAAATTAGGTGCTTGAAGAGAAAATATTTTTGATAAATGTTTTGACTACGCCTATGATGTATGCTGTTAGGTTGATCTTACTAACTCAGGTCCAGCAGTAGTCGTGGTTGAAGTACTACTTTTGTTAGGGTACCTAAGCACATGATACGTAGGTGGTATCATACATATATAATTAATTACAAAAAAGCGTATTAAAATGTTAACAACAGGTACAAAATTAGTATCGACGTATAACACATATATGAAGTACATATAATATCAGAAAAACAATTATCAAATTCAATAAGAAAACTCAAAAGGCCGTGGTTCGAATCGAGAACGAAACTTCAGAAGAGTTTAGTGTAAGGAGAGGAGTGCGACAGGGCTGTATATTGTCCCCTCTGCTATTCAATGTGTACTCGGAACATCTATTTAGAGAGGCACTGGATCGCGCAGAGGATGGGCTGGTAATAAACGGTGAAATAATAAACAATTTGAGATATGCAGATAATACCGTTCTGTTGGCCGATACCGCTGAAGGTCTCCAAAGACTTATAGATCGTGTCGCGAATACATGCAGCAGATACGGAATGAAGATGAACTGCAAGAAGACTCAAACCTTGATCATTAGCAAGAACTACATCAACAACTTTCAGTTCAGTGCTAACAACATCGTTCTCCCAGCGGTCGAGACAGTTGCATACCTGGGCTGCACCCTGACTAAAGACTGGGACCACTCTCGCGAAATAAAACATCGAATCGAAATCGCGAGAGGGACATTTAACAAAATGCGAAATATACTATGCAACCTGTCCCTCAACGTCCGCACTAGAATCAGAAACCTAAGATGCTACGTGCTCTCAACCCTTCTGTATGGAGCAGAGGCGTGGACACTTACCGACGCAGCATGCAAACGTGTGGAGGCATTTGAGTTGTGGTGCTATCGACGCATGCTTAGGATTTCGTGGGTGCATCGCGTGTCAAATGAAATTGTACTACACCGCATCAACAAGGAGTTGAAGTTTCTGGTGAATATCAAACGCAGAAAATTGGAATACTTCGGACACATCATGCGGAAGAGAAATACCGCCTACTCCAACTCATAATGCAGGCGAAAATAGAAGGCAGAAGATCAGCGGGACGCAGACGAATATCGTGGCTGCGAAATCTACGAACATGGACCGGAATGACGTCAACAGCTTTGTTCAGAACGGCAGTGAACAACGTAATATGGACCAATGTTATAGCCAGCATCCATAGAGGATAGGCACTTTAAGAAGAAGAATAATAAGAAAACGCTGAAAAGGTGGAGCGGACTGTTTATTTACCTATGAAACATAACTCCTCTGGCTCTTTCTTATCGTTGCAACTCGAGTTGCAGCTTCTACACTTGAAATCTAAACAAATCATCATTGTAATAAAATTTATACAAAGTTCTCTACATACAACAAACTATTAAAAATCGCTAAAATTGTCACTGGTGACACATCCGTTCTTCCAAAAAAATGGCGTCTGACAACACAAATTCTGCTTCGACCTATATATGGGCGTTACGTCTCCTTATATTCGTTAGTCATTGGTCTACACACAATAGTTGTGCTAACTTAAACATTAGAACTTATTGTATCTTTCTTTCAATTTATAAGTCATTGTCTGAATGTTTTTTTTTCTAAGTATTTTAATAGGAGGGAGATTTTTTAAAGGACTTGTAGTTTAAATATATCATGATATTATTTTAATATTTGACAATTCATAAACCGTAAATAGCTCTCACTGTCAGACAACATTTCATATAAGATATATGATAAAATAGAGAAATGTAGTAGGTATAAATGAAAATGCGATTTCATGGACAACTTAATTATACTTATTTATCACCGGCGTACAATATTTTTAACATTTTAAATATGTATATTCAACCAAAGGATAAAGATAACACAAAAATAAAACCTGATTTAGAATTTCTAATTTCATTTTAGCGAATAAAATAAAAAAGCAAGAGGCAGGATATACACTATCAGTTAAATACTTACGTAACGTTTTGCAACTATATGTCTACCATATATGACGTGAAAGTCATACATGTACCAAAAGAGACGTGGCTTAATTTTAACATTGTTTTCACTAACTAAAACAGAATATTTTTTACATCTTGACATATCCGTCGTTATAACAATTCGTCAATGTATTTACAATGTTTAAACTGTTACATGTTGACTTAATATTTTAACAGCTTTATTCTCTGAAATATTGGCTTTACTATTTTTACATACTTGGTTCAATGTTTCCTGTTTCATATTAAGAGCAAAAACCTTTGCTCTTAATATGAAACTTCATGATACCTTGGTCATAATTTTCACTAGTAGGTACCTAATACCAGAAATGGTTAAATTATTTTCGGACTTAATTTGACTTCGCATGGTATTCGGTAAGTAGATTTCATACCAAATTGTGTTTAAAATCATTTAAAAATTACATTTTTTTATTTTTTACAATAGCTATATTTCCATTGATAAAACACTAGCAAAGCGTAGAAAGTGTGGTTGACTTGGTAATTCAGTTGCCTTGGTAATCAGAGCTGCAATCTGAGAGCAAAACTTAAAATTTGAAAATAAGATTTTAAGTCATTTTTCGAAAGCTGATTTAAGACTTAAGATTTAAGTAATTTGCAAAATGAATTGTGATTTAAAATCTAATTACGCAATAACAATACATTTTTAACGGCAGCAACATTTCCTTTTCAACTGTCTGGCCGGCATCCAGGCAGCCGTTCAAAAACACCAACACTACTGCTCCAGTCATTAGCTTAAATTATGCCACATACATATTGCAAGGTCGTCAAAACATATCACCATAGATATGCATTCGATGACATCTAATCTGTAATGGATAGGTAAAAAACTGCTACAAAATCAGGTAAATCTCATAAAAGTTGTTATGATCTTAATGCTCATACTTTTAAGTTTTTTTATAGTTATTCTGAAAATAAAGCATTTTGTTTTAAGTCTCATCTGTGTCCTTTATAGCGTAAACCTCTGCTTATATAACATTACAGCCATCTGATAGCCTTAGAGGTCATCAGGTGTCTAGTTCCTCTGAGAAGATGCCTATATTTGTGCCTTCTAAAGTCCCTGAAGCAACTGTGTAGACTGCTATCTCTTAAGTATTCATTACTAGGTTGCTTTCCAATTCTTGTCTTGTCGGGATACGAATCCTTATCTTTTTTCCAAAATCGTGTTTGGTGAGCATCCGTTTTCTGGGGCTCATGTTCCCCGTAATTGGCAATATCCTCGACCGTAGATGGTCTGGTTCCACCATATTGGATTCCCTTAATCTCATGGTACCCTTAGCGGCCAGATCCTTCACGAGCCAGTTTATTAATTGGGACTCCAGGATTACAGTCCGATTACAGTATACTCCAGGATTGCTTCTAGCGCAGTTTGCGCTGTGTTTTTCCTCTCTCCATTTGTACCTAAGGCTGCTAATCTCTGCACTTTTGTGAGGCTTTTTCTACTAGAGAAACATTTACATTGATAAAATATATGCGTTGCAATGGCGACCTCCCTAAATATACCAATTTGATTGTAAAAATACTGGTGTGAAATTTTCACTTATAATATCACAAGAGCTTAAATTATTTTCGGAAATTTTTTTGAGGGCACGAATATTTTGAAAATTATCCCGAATCGAAGACGAGGGATAATTTTCCTAAAATATTCGTGCCCGAAAGAAAATTTCCAGGAATAATTTAAGCTTGCGTGGTATTCGGTAAGAAAATTTCACATCTAAATTTGAAAAAAAAAATATTAATCCAACAGGACATTTTAAAATAATTTCAATTTGTTAATAATATTAACAAATATTATTATATTTTTAATTAGTTACATCAAATGCTAAAACTCAAATGGGTAATATTTCAATATATAGACATTGTAGTTCATTCACATTATGATTGTAAATCTTATGTTTACCTTTTCAACTGTCAAAAAATTTCCACTAAAGTTTCGTGGCGCCTCGAAAAAATTTCCGGAAATTTTTTCAGTTGCCATGGTAACTAGTCAACATTAAAGCATGTTATTGGTTGAAAAGTAGAGGTGTGAAATTTTCATTGTTATTTTTCAGTAACCCGTTATAATGTGAATAGAAGAGAACTGAAGTCAGTAAGCTATATTTTTATGCGTTTATTGACACCGTACGTATACGCACCACGATGCTTATGACGACTGGGAAAGGAATACCACCAAGAAGTACGTATCATATAAAAGGAAAAAACTGGTTTAGCCTTATAGGAACCGATTTTATACCAGGCAGAATTACTTCTTTTATGCCCGTTTATTTTACTTGTGTCTATTAAGTTTGATGTAATGTCGTTATCTATATCTATGTACATAACGCGCTGTCACTGTTACAGATTTATTTATTTTTTATATAGATCTTTAAGA